TATATATATATATATATATATATATATATATATGTTTGTGTGTGTGTGCGTGTCTGTGCGCACGCTTGTGGTGGTAATATCTCAACTAACACTACGAAAATACTTTTGAATGATAAATGCAAAAATACAAATAAAAAGAATAATTGTGAAGTATAAGCAGTCAATTGCTGATACATATGAGAAATGAAGCCTGGATGCTGAAGGTAACACCTATCAACCAAGTGACAAAGCAAAGTATTTTGGCACAAATTGACCATTATATATTCTCCTGATGGTTTATAAATATCGAAACATCTCAGAAGTCACTGGACAATTTATTAATTTCAATTCCTAATACATATCAGAAGTCGCATTGAAGATTTGCGATTTCTCAATTGTCAGGTACCTTGACAGTATGTAATAAAATATACATTCTGTAATTAATGCAATTATTCGATTGTATTTATTACCAATATATATTTTATTATTTTCTAAACGATTATTTATATGCGGTCAATCAATTTTCAAATTTACACTTACAACTGTCATTCGCCAGGATTCGCTGCAACAACTGAAAAAACCCTGTATTCTTCATGTTTATATATATATATATATATATATATATATATATATATATATATATAGGCACGTATTGTCTGTTGACCTGAGATGGAACGAATACATTGAGTCAATAGCTTCGTCCACCGCAAGGAAATTTTTCTCACCCTTCAAATCTACAAATCAACCATTCGCCCTTGCATGGAGTATTGCTGCCATATATGGTCTGGAGACCCTTCTCTATGTCTCAAGGTTCTTGATGAAATCCAAAGACGGATATGCAATGTAACTGACCGTGATCTGGCATCTCGTCTGCAGCCGCTCTCTCACAGACGTGCCGTTGCCTCCCTCTGTCTTTTTTACAAATACTTTTACGGTAACTGCTCCGATGAGCTGCTTTCGCTGGTTCCCAGACTTCATGAATTTTAGAGTTCAAGTATGCTGGCATCTCGCTCACACCCTTTCATTATCGAAACTGTTAAATGTAGCCGTCTCTTCTACTCCAATAGCTTCATGTCTCGCAATTCTCGCCTGTGGAACTCCCTCCCATTTCCTGTTTCCCTGATAGCTATAATCTCCAACTATTCAAATGTAATGTCAATCGATGTCTCCAGATGCCTTGATCTATCCCCTATCCTTCTCTTCATCCTTTCCTCTATCACTCCTCTTTGCTCTCGCTCCAACTCTCTGTAACCCCTTGCGTGCTAGTGGTTTCCCGCCTTGCTTGGGGTGGAATGCTTATATATATATATATATATATATATATATATATATATATATATATATATGGTCGATTTGTCAGTAAGGAGACTGCCTGATGGAATGGTCGGTCACAGCCTGCAGGGAAAACCATATGCCTGAGAACCGTATTACGGGTTGACCGAAGCCTTGTATGTGAAGACGTGGGTAGACGTGGCCGAGGGCTTGAGCCTGCTGGCCTTGAGCCTGCTGGCCTTGAGCCTGCTGGCCTTGTTCAAATTGTTGATCCCGCTTGATAACACGCTCTTTCCCAGAAACTAGTTCCAGTATAAACCGCAGGTGGGCTCTGTCGGTGTTGAATAAACACAAATACGCCTGAGCAAGCTTCTGCAGTAGGGATTCGCTAGCCGCTCTAGCAGACGACTATCCTCGAATACGAGTGGCCAGCTATATATATATATATATCCAGGTGAGATGAGAACGTATAGAGTACAATTCCAACGTTTGTAGCATTTAATTTAAAAGAGGGGTCAATATATAATCGAGTAATATCATTTATTTTAGGACATTACGTCGGAAAAATGTCAAAATCGCTACACTATTGCAGTCATGTTTCAATGCGTATAAATGTATCTCATCCGACGATTGTATATTACTGGCATCTGAACGGTTTATTTAGATTTAACAGCAAAATACAACCTCTTTTTCGGAAAAAAAAGAGTCGGTGGGTATAAGGTTGGTGGACTGGTTGATCAGAATCAAGACCCTGGTATCTATCATTCATTGGTCATTCCTTGTATCATATAAATCACTTGATGCTCACTATCTTCTCATGCTAAAAAGTTTAATATAACAGTGAAAGTAAAATATATCTCTGATCGACAAAGCCTATTTGAAGACCAAATGGAAGATAGACGATCACTTAATAGACAAAAGTATCTGAGTGCCTCACATGAAAGGCTTGAACAAATAAGACTGCAGTTATTTTAACTCAACTCCAAGTTTTTGCCAAACTTTACTGTATTGAACTCAAAACTTTTGGGGTCAAGTCACTGGATTATTTCAACCAACGCTTTTATCCACTTGATCATATGTCCTTGGAGAGTTGAGTTACTAAAAGGGAAATAACTGAAACGGAGACATTCAGAAAAGGCATGGCATGTGGAACTGGAATAGTCTAGCCCAGTAGACTAAATTAAGGGTTCAGTTCGAAATTCCAGTAACCTGAAGAAGGCTAAGGCCGTGAATATGGCAATGAAGAAGGTCAAATCACGCTGAAACACCGGTTCTCGTTCGATCACCGAAGTTAAGCATCGTAGAGCCAGGTCAGTACTTAGATGGGGACCGCTTGGGAACACCTGGTACTGTAAGCCCCAAAAGTCCAACCCTTACCTCACAGTCGGTGGGGGTGGGTAAACAGTGATGTCAAGACTATGCCGTCCGGAACTTCGTTCCTGGTAGGGCCACCAAAGGCGGACAGGTCTGACACACGCCGGCTAACAAGGGCTCTGGTGAAAATCCAAGGAGCGTCTGCATCGGTAACCGGCGGCTTCTGGTCGTTCCTGTCTCTGCGTCTGTGGGAACCCCGCGGCAAGCAAGAACGTTATCCTAGTAGGCCTGGGTACCCCTACTTCTGTAATTTATCCCAAGAATCTTCTTCTCATAACAGGAAGAAGCCGGCTCAATCCGCCCAGGGTGAATGCCGCATCAGTACAGTAATGAAGAAGGGGAAAACAGTCAGAACAATGCAAATAGTTTAAATAGTTACAATACCTCATCTCAGAAATATAGACAGTTATTAGATGTGGTAGGATATTTTTGAGTGCGAAATCATAAGACGAATAGAAAGGAGGGAAGAGACGTCGTTTCTTGACTGCTATAAGTTGCTGATTTGGGCGAAAAAAATCTGTAATATGATGGTTCTTTCAAGGAATATTTTAGGGTTTCTGTTCATATTTTATAAGGCGGGAACTTTGGATTGTCGTGCTAAAAATGCCAGCTTACACTTTCGAGAGTTTGTTGACAGTTGATTTGATTATATTGCTCTGTCAGTGTCCAACACAATTTAGCGCGTGTCAAAATGCGTCAGCTTCAAGAAGGAGAGTGATCTCTCGTTAAAAATTTACAAGCCCAAGAAATGCCGGGATGCGCTTGTTCTAAGTCATTTGTCTTGATGGCGATAGGGGAGAACGCGGTAAATAAAAAAAATCATAATAATTTGAGAAGACTGTTTTAATGAGAATAAGCGTACTAAAGCGAAAACTGTCCATCATCTGTTTTTGAAATGGCAAGAATTTTCAAAAAGTTACGAGACCACTGCGTAAATATATCACGAAGCTCACACAGCTTACCAATTGTTTTAACAATAACTATTCAAATTATTTACACGCGGGCTTATTTTCCTCATCTGTGTTGCTATCACTACTCCTCGGCCGTTGTGTTCTTGGGCCTTCATCAGATGCTTTATGATCCTTGTAAACGTCAGGGAACTTCGAAAAACACTTTATTTATTTTATGGGGTAGACTGTTCTCTTTCCACAACACATGCTTAGGGGGGGATATCTCGTTTAGTTTTTATTTAGCGCTGTTCAGTTATTACTTTCTATGTTCTCAGTGGTTTCAACTATACGCTGCACGGCCCAGGGTTTGAACTCACAATTACGATATCGGGTGTAACAGCAAAATTGTCCAAATCGTGTAATCGCAAAATTGTCCAAATCGTGTAACAGCAAAATTGTCCAATTGTTAGATTAACGCCTGAAGCGTTGTATCTTAAAATGATTAAAGATATCTTACTGGAATTCTCCGAGATTTTTATAACACTATTGGGTTCTACTTTAGGCAACAAGAATGTATAATTACTCTCCAAGCTTAACAGAAGAATCGTGATGAAATCGATCATAAACGAAAATGATATGTTCATCATTAATTAATCATATCTAAATATCGGAAGCACATGAAGGATTGAAATAAATTTCAAATCGTGTGCCAACGGTTTAGTGGTAGAATCCCCGACTGAATTGGCGTCACTCGGGTTTTGATCCTAGCTAGAGGCAACCGGACGTCTAACCACACTGATCAGCTGTGATACAACGAAACAGTGTGTCTGTGGATGACAATATATATATATATATATATATATATATATATATATATATATATATATATATTATTGCAGGATCATTTTCCAACTTATTCAAGTTGATCTTCGTCCTCTCTAACCTAATAACAAGGTGCTTCACAGGTTTCACGCACTATTTCATTTTCAAGTCTTTTGCAACTGCTCTTTGAACTGTCATAGCTGAAACTCTTCTCTCATGTGCCAAACATCTTATGGATTGAGTTGGATCTTTTCTAATTGATCTTTTCCGCTCTAAGTTGAAATGATCATCCGTCTTCCTGTTGTGACCTCCTGATCCAGTTCTCCTTTCTGCTATTCTCTCTTTTTAAAACTTATTCACCATTCTCTTCATGATTCTTGAATAAACTTTGAAGAAGTAATCTGATCTGTATATACAATAATCCGCTGATATCTGTCTCTATCTATGAAACATAAAGAAGCTTACTTTCATGCACGACAAAATTAAAAGAATGGAACAACCAATAAGGATCGAACCCAATAACTCTGGTTCACTTGCTTGCTAATCACTACTTCACGACAAAGCAGAAAACCTTGTATTTATCCATCAATCAATCTGGGTAAGAAGGCTTAGTTTGGTTTGTTTTACGGCATATCAACCTCAATGAGTTATTTAATGCCGACTAGATTTTTATTGTTGGTAATATTTTTCAAAAATGTATTGCTAGTAATAATGTATTGCTGGTAATAATTCTTTTCTTCAAAATACATTGCTGGTAATGTTTTTCAAAAATGTATTGCTGGTATTAAAACTTATTTTTACAATTTCATAACGTTTTAACCCCAGTTTTGGGTGTTAACTATTTGACCATAGCTGGGACCCGAAAAGGTGCTACCACCCCGGGTGAGGGTTAACCTGGGAACACCAGAAATTAAGCGGTGGTTCCACGCTCCTCAAAACCTCCTGATCAGAAGCCTTGCTGTTAGATGTAGTTTATCGTCTTACCTAGGACCGTTCATTGGGGGAGGGGTTCTTACTCCTCTGCAGGGGTGCAGCCGGCGTATTCTGAAGCCCCAGCCGGCAGGGCGAGGGTAAGAAAGGGAAATGTGAAAGGAAACAATCGAACAATAGAGTGGAACATAATGAAAAAAAAAAAAAGAAAGAATGAAGAAAGGAATAACTGAAAAACGGAGGTATGGAAAAAGTAAATAAATACATAAATAAAAGTCTGGGGAAAGAGAAAATTACTAAAGAAGCAACAATTTTGCAGCTGCAAATATGTGAAATCGTCAAAGCGATCGAAAGTGAAAGTGAAAGTGAAAGCGAAAGTAATGAGAAACGCAGAGAGAATACTTAATGGAAAGAGAGAGAGAAAGAAAGTAATATGAAAAACACTTTAGCGTGAAAGAGGGAAACGCACTTATTTCTGCGCGCAAGCAAGACCTGCAGGAAGAAATTCTTTCGTGGAAGCGCGTGAAAATGAATCCGAAACCTGAAGCTATATTACGATTCTGGTTCCTGGTGCCAGCGGCTGAAAAGACGCGTTGATATCAAGATGTTTTTCATTGAGATCATTCGGCTTAGAGATAGGCATTAAAAAAAAAAAACGATTCTAGGAGCGTGTTTAGGGAATCATTCCCCAGAATTTTCCGTATGATTTGATCAAGACTTGTATCTAAGAACCCCGATTTCGAATCGAAGACTGTAATTCTTCATAGATCTTCATTTTTGGTTTTTCTTCCTGACGATTCTAACTTTTTTTTTGTTTCGCTTCGTGTGTGTGTTTTTTCTCTCCTAATTCTTTCGTCTTTGATTTCTTGCTTTTTTTTAAGGCATGCATTTTATTTATATCGAAAGTGACATAGGAATCTTATTATTTTCTTGTTTTCGTGTTCCTGTGAGATGTCTTAAGTGTTTTATACGGTTTCAGCGCTTTTCAACGCTTTAATGTTCTGTTCCGAACGCTTTGGTTCCCCCATAATACAGCGTCCGTAAAATATCTGTTTCGCGCTAAAGTGATCTAATGAGTACTGTCTTTTAATGCATGGTATTAATTTTAGCTCATGAAATGAAAGCGGCACAGAACTCCTCACTTAAATCATCCATCCTTTTTTTTATATTCAGAGTTCAGTTTCTATGTCGGATAAAGAAAAAGAAAGAATATTTTAACCGACTGTAAGCACTATTGGGTATTGTCACAGTAACGTTGGATTTCAAAAAAACCTATTTAAAATTTTATACATAAACCATTTCTTTCTTAATTTTCTTGCTGTATATTTCTGTTTTTTATAAGATAAATAAAAAATGAGAAATACGAAAATTGTTATTCTGAAAAATAGAATTAAAGGGTCAGTATGAAAATAATATCGATCATGATAGTAAATTAATGTCAACATTCCTAAAATTAGATTATGGAAAATATTTCCAACATTTTTAAAATTACTGAATACTTAAAAATTATATCAAAATGCGTTCACCCATCCTCTTCTTAAATTATGTTTTAGCAGATAAAGTCTCCGTAGAACAATAATAAGTGTCAACACTTTGTAAATCACGCTACTGTTTGTTTTAAAAATCCATTTCTGCGTTATTTTAAACTTAAAGTAAATAATATTTGTTTTAAATCAGATTAATTATACTTTAAATTAGCTAATATTCCTCAAATAATCTTTCAGAAAAGTATATTTTTTTACATTATTCGGACTATTGTCCTCATCTTTGTCGCAACTGAACCCTTTATTTCGCTCACTGGGGTAGACTGTTCTAGTTCCACGTGCCTGCTAATTTCCCTCTGAAAGTTCTCCACTGCCTTAACCGGGTATTGAACTCACACACTGGCTCTAACCAACGCCTTTATCCACTGTGCCATGTGTCTTTGAGGACATCTGGGTATGAATTTCTGGGTATTATAAACCTAATGTCTTCAGCAACGATTTTTACCAGTGCTCATATTGCAATTTTGCTGTTATCATTGCATTTTTTTTTTCTAGCGCTCATATTGCAACTTTGTTATCATTGTTTTTCTCTGGCACTCCTTATTACTGGTTCCCATATTGTATTTATTTCTATGCTTGGTCGGCTCAGGAGATTTTTGTGGCCTAGCATATGTGCTGATTCCTTAAGTTTACAAATTTTTCAATGGTGTTCCTTGTATATTTTTTTTATTGTTGGAAGATTTTTTAATAAAGTAAAATTCAGTGAAATAGTTAAAAAAAAGGGGCACCAATCAGCTATTTTTAGTCCAATAAAATGAATTGACACCAACCAATAGAATTTCCATTTAAAATACAC